AAAAAAAGAGAAAAAAAAACACTTACTAGAGGAATGAAGACGGTTAAACATATTAAAGGACCAGCAATATAGTTCAGTACAATAACACAAATATGCATCTGTGTAGGGTATTGCTATACTAATCTTATAAAAGCAGGCAGCTTGAGAAATGCAGGGCGTGACTTTTATGTTCAGGCTTTTAACTTCATTATTTGTTATTCGGTGTACTTCGTTCGGAAAATGTCGAGAAATATTAGGATGTAAATTATATTGGGAAGAAACATCTCACTATTATTTTGATGACAACGGATAGATCAAAAACATTTTGGATTTTCTTCTGTGTATTATGATTTTTATGTACAAAACAAAGCGATTTTTAAGCACTTGCCAACGCTTTAAAATTATATTTACCGCGGAAAAAAAAACACCACTTGGATTGTTGATTACAGACTCGTGAAATCCCTTTCATCAAAAGGTTGTTAACCACGCAGGCGAAGGAGTAAAACAGAAAAGCTCAAAACAAGCCCTCGGTTTGATTAGGAGTGTTATGCCATATGAACGATGAAAAGGCAGCATTTAAACCAGCAAAATGAAAACCGTTCTAAAATTACAAGTTTAAATAGAATAGTGGCGCAAACCATCCCTCCTCTCAGCTTTCGTTTGATTGAACTTAAACATTTATATTAAAAAAAAATGAAAGCCGTTTACAACTCCCTGTAACGCCAAACTAGAGCGCAGCTCTTGAGGAGGACGAGGGAAGGGTACTCAGGGTCACGTGTTGTCGGGGGGGGGGGGTCACGTGACCTGGGGGAGGGGTCACGTGACCTCGGGGGGGGGGGGGGGGGGGGGGGTCACGGGACCCCCCAGAAAAATTTTTCCGCTAAATCTAGCCGGGAAATTTTCCCGCTAGATTTAGTGGGGAAATTTTTCCGCTAGATTTAGCGGGTAAATTTTCCGCCAGATTTAGCGGGGAAATTGTGCCGCTAGATTTAGCAGGGAAATTTTTCCGCAAGATTTAGCGGGGAAAGTTTTCTGCTAGATCTAGCGGGGAAATTTTTTCGCTAGATTTAGCGGGTAAATTATTCCGCCAGATTTAGTGGGAAATTTGTTCCGCTAGATTTACCGGGGAAATTTTTCCGCGAGATTTATCCGGGAAATTTTTCCTCTAGATTCAGCGGGGAAATTTTTCCGCCAGTTTTAGCGTGGAAATTGTTCCGCTAGATTCAGTGGGAAAAATTTTCCGCTAAATTTAGCGAGGAATTTTACCCATAATGCACCGCGCGGTTACGCCGACGCCGACGCCGACGGCGACACCGACGCCGCTCAAGCCGGAAACGGGCGCCTAAGAGCTGCGCTCTAAAAGCATCGGATGAAACGCGAAGCAAAATAAGTGCACACGAGCCCCCACCCAAGATACCGAAACGAAACAGCAACAAGTCTTTTAAGAAAAGGCAGGCGTAGGTCGTAGCCAATCCACGTTCGTATCAAAGATGGCTTCCTTTCGGTTACGGCCGGAACTGCGACCGGGGACACTTCTACGTGTGGATGGAATTACAAGTGAAAATATTTCGGCAGCATGCTTGTAGAAGAATTGATGTGTCCAGGAATCCAGTAAGCGACTAGCGATACCGCTTACACAGTGATCGACTTGCTTAAAGCTTAAAAATGGTGGTAGAAAGTGTAATGACCGGCTGGCTTCAATTTTTGTTTTTACTCTTTCGAGCCATAACCGCCAAAACTACTATTGAAAGACAATCGTGCTACTGATTTCTTTTTCGTTTTCACGCCGGTGCCTCTTTTCTCGCCAACTATTGAAACTGTACAATCTGGAAACATTATTACTTCATCGGTGGGGAGTGTGGGCATAGGTTTCTTGTTTTTGCGTCATAAGCTCGAGAATTCACCAGATTGTGTGTATCGCTTTCGAATTGTCGTTGTTTAGCGATTTAATTAACATTCTCAGCACCAGTTCTTACGTTCTCTTGGCTTGACAACAAATTCAGCACAAAAGACGAAGACAAGAGAGAGACACAAGCAAGGAGATGTCTTCGTCTCCCTTTCTTGACCACGTCTTTTGAGCTGAATTTGCTCTCATTAATTACCAAAGCCCAACTATCAAATTTTGTCTTCGCTTCCGGTCATATAATTTAATTAATTTATATTGAAGCTAAGGTTTTGTGGAAGCACGGTGTTTTTTGATCTGATGTCAGGGGCAAATGGTTGTCTTCCAGTAGATAAGGCAAACTGCACAGACTTCGTAATTTTTCGCGTAGTCGAGATTATGTGCGAGTCTCATGTTTTCAAGTTTTAGCAATTTACGTAATTAGAAAAAAATAATAAAAAATCGAACATGTACCTGGGTCTTGCTTTTGCTACTGTGATTGACATGAACATATGAAGTATTAATTAGAGCATCTAGACCAGTTTAGAGCAGTAACTTAAGTAAAGAAATGCATTTCTTACAAAGGTCTAATAGTAAGCATTGTTCAAGGTGTTTTGCACTGAATATAAATGGTATAAACTTAGTTTCTTTTAGCTATGGACCTGCTGAATATGTGGCTGTGAGGGTCCTGCTCTTTTTTGTAAATGTGGCTCTGTGGATTGTTTCGCCTATCATAAGATATGTTGTTTTAATATCATAAGTTAAAGTGCTTCAGTGACTTTAAAATTTCATGTTGGCTTCCAGAGCGCAGAAATTAGGGTTCAAAGCCTGGGTTGTTCCTTTTGTGGAGCCTTTGGGTCTTTTATTTCAATTGTTTTGTGGCTAAAAGCATCAATAAACTCTTTTTTATTAGATGCATTCCAGGCCAAGCAGAAACTCACGTGTAATATGAAGATTCTGATGAGCGTACACTCAAGCCATATAGTTTTTATTGTCTACGTTTCTGGCGTTCATCGTTTGTAACAACCATTCAGCAGCAGTTATTCTGAGAAACATACCTTGACTTCAAGGGTGTTGATAGGAGGTGCCTTAATATTTTAGCAATACATTAGAAACAGGTCATTCATGCAGCTGTCAGTGAAATTTTAATGCTGTATGAATAACAGGAATGCCGCAAGGTTATCTATTAATGCAGTGTTTTTCTGGGTTAATTTTTTGACAACATGGTCAATCAAATGAACGGCCGTACGGCAACAATATTGCAGTTCCAGAACATTTGGAGGCAAACAGCCACTGACATACTGTAAATGTGCAGGGCTCTGGCTAACTAAGATGTTTGTGTTCCTGCTTTATTTCGGTGCATGCCATAAGTTGGGGGGTGGAAACATGTCGAATATTTCGTAGCAACGTCTTATGTACCCGCCTGGCACTTGATATTGACTCTGTCATGACACTGTCTGAAAAATACGTATGAAAGTGCATGTCCTAATATTAAGCCACACTTCTGCCTGTGACTTGTACGTATGTGATCACATAAATAAATGCCCCTTTACAAACTGCCAAAAGTTTGATGCAGAAGAGACAGTGCACCACACCATTTGTGCATGCCCGGCGTGTGAAGGAAACAGAAGTGATGAGCCTATGAATTAACAAAGGCAACCCAGTATCATCAGTCGACATTGTCTACCCAGACGCACACCGACAGAAGTGTCAAAGGACTTTCAAAGAAGTGCTCGACTTCCTTCGGGACACAGAAACGATTGACCGCCTGTAGGTCAATGCCGGGGCGAACAACGCAGTAAGCTTGTAAGACCGTTAAATAGCCCTCATCAGGGCTTGTCTCCTGCTTATACCAGCGACTTTCGAGCAGGGCTAACCTAAGGGACGTAAAACCTCAACGTCGTACCCCCACCACCACGCCACGACGTAAATGCCCAAACATCTCGCACTTGGAACGCCACCACGATACTGTAATAATTTTATTTCACACCCGAAATGCTGTAACGTCAGATAAAAGCAATGTTTTTTTTTTTTAAATTTAGGTATCATTTTAGTTTTGTTTAAATATAAGAATGATATGGTGGGCGGTCGATCAGTCGTGTCCGCTTGGGTCGTCTACGCAAGAGAGGCCTCGTGTGCTGTCTTCGCAAGTCGCTAGCATCCAGTTTCCGGTGATCGTTGCCCACCTTGCTGGGTCTTACAAACCGCTTATGACACGCACCTCCCGTGGGAGGTGCACGTCAGAAACGGCTTGGAAAACCAACAGAATTCTCAAGGTTTGGTTATGAAAGGAATATATCTTTATGATAGATTCGCGCACGGTCACCATCACAAACACTAGCACCAGCAGGACTTTCAATCCAAAGAAGAAAAAAAAACGCTGCAAGAACACTACGCTACTTAGTTTGTTGTGGCTTATTGAACGTGCGGACTTGAGTGTGGCAAGGGAAAAGGTTGTGCGCTCTATGGGGAAATTTTGATATATCATTTGAAACGTGAAGACCGAACAAAACAAAAGAGTAAAATACAAACACACGCATTTTTGAATACGGGGTTTGCGTTACTATTTTCCTCTTCTCATATTCGGACTTAAAACTGGCGATGTATCAGGTTTTGTAATCCCCATTGGGGCATCCGATACTCAGCCCCTCACCTATGCCAACTTGCTAAAACAGCGTCTCAGCTGAGACTGGATGAAAGAAAAGTACTGCAAAGACTGGGGCACCCGAGCGTCTTGAGACGCGGTTTGAGTCCCGCTCAGCTCATGCGCTGACTTTGGCACTGCTCCCTTTCACCCAGTCTCAGCTGAGAAGCTGTTTCTGCCAGGCCGGCCCAGGTGTCTAGGCAATTGCAGGGTATTGCCTACTGGGGTGCGAGTTTTAATAAACGAGCAAAAAAAAAAAAAGAGACAGCGGACGTGATAACAATTTACGTAAAAACACGCCATAAATACTGACATCCGTCGCTGTCAGCAGCAGCCCCAAATCACAGAGAGGCTTCTAGAGGATGATACCCTTATGTTGATCAGGACGACACTTAGATGGCAGTAGAAATGTTAAATGCTAATCCTCCTGCACTTTTTACCTCTCCCGTGGCATCACAGTACTTGGCAGTGTATTCTAGCACGAGAAGCCTTTGGTTTCATGTAACTGATACGAAGCCATCTTTAGTCAAGATCTGGCGGGAGTCGGAGTCAGTCTTTCCCTCATAAGTCTTCGATCTCGTCTCTGAAGTACTGGTCGTACTCTTCCTTGTAACATTTCAAGCGCTTCCTTTCCCAAGCCATGACGTCTGGCGAGTTCTGGTAGCCATCGGAGTCCACGCAGCGACACGAGGACGGTGTGGTGCACTGCATCGGCAGATAGTTGCCGTTGCGGGCGCACCGTTGCAGTCGGAACGTCGTGACGAGCATGCTCGACGCAACCGATGGCCCGGCGTCCCAGAGCAGCTGCTGTTCACGAAGGCAATCTGCGCGAGAACGAGATGGGCAAACTCAAGAACATAGGAACAGAAAGTCAGGGTGCAAGCGAGCTGGTGAAAACGATACATGTTGAGAACTTTTAATAAACTGTATCCGTCGTCGTTTCTCGGGGTAGTATTACGTCTAATTAGGAATATATTTATTAACCTTTTAACTTAACCCGAAGCGCCTAGAACGCATTAGTGGAGGAAATTGCGAAGAGTAAACTATACCAATGTATCCAAATATGCGCACAAATATGCACACAAATATACAAACAGAATGATTAATAAAATTGACTTTGTAGAAAATATGTATAACATAAAAATACGCAAATCATCGAAAATAATTAGATAAATAAACCATACTTGATCCATCACGTACAGCTCATTCATCTGAATATGTTCCGATATTTGCCGCTGTGGAGACCACGTATGATGATGAAAGTGCCCGTAATATATTAAAGAAAAAAAAAAAAGAAACGTTAATTATTGTCGTATAACAGAGGCTGTGAAAACAAGTAATTCCATAGCATCGATGCAACATTGATGGTTAGCCGGTTTGATGCTTGAACAGCACGTGGAAAAAACGAGCACTGGAAGGTATCAATTCTACAGTTGAATTATCTCATTTTTCAAGTGTGATCTCTCCTTAGTGAAACAAAATATTTCACGAAGGACCGGCGTGAAATAATAAATGCGAAATACAATCAGGAGATTGAACTTGTTGCGCGCAATAAGACTCGGTTACCAACCGGGAAACGTTGGAGTTCGGTACGCAGACCCTTCTGCTCCAGAAACCTTTCCCTAACAATATACAAACGACCTCCCCCGTACGAGACGCATGATTAAAAACGCTCTGCGTCCGCGGTGAACTTAACTGTAAGAAATCTGGTGCGTCTACGTTTCTGAGATAAGCTTGAGAGAGCCAATAGACCCTTTTTCAAAATGTGCGCCATATAGTATATATAGCTGCTGCGCCAATTGTTTGACTCCGCCATTGTTTTGGGCACGCACTCTGAGCATGCGCTAGACTCGAGAGTTGCGCCAGCGCTCGGCGACGTCTCGGATCCAATCACACGCTTCGTGCACTAAAAATGGCGATCGCCAATGTTGCTTGACGTACTTTTGAAAAGAGCCTATTGCTGCAAACTACGGAGGGAGCACGGGGAATGGCGAAACTGAATATATGCTCGAACCCCCCCCCCCCCCCCCCCCCCAAAAAAAAAAAAAAAAAAAAAAAAACTTTGTTGTTAAGTCTAGTGGTTAAGCAATGCTCAGTGTCACAAGCACATACTTTTTTTTTAGGTCAAGGCACATTGTTAGTATCGCCATTTGCCGATAAGACTGCTAACTGGGCGAGTTGGTAGCTCATGTTGATTAACGTTACAGCCCGCACCACAAGAGAGACACTGACAAACAGACACACGTAGAAAATATACACTCACTCGGCGCTTACTCACAACTTATGGTTTGTATTGCCTTCTTCTATGCACAAAAAAACAACTACCTCTTTTTCTACGTTCTAGGAACGAGACGACGACATCAGATGCAATTACAAAAATAAACAAATAAATAAATAAAACATAAAACAATTTAAACAGTAAAATTTATAAAAAATACATTAAAAATAAAGAATATAGTAAAGGATTACCACTGCTGATGCTTAAGAGACCTTTTGGTCAAATACTCATGCTCTTCAGTGAGAAAGTTAAAGATGGCCTGCTGACATAGTTGTCATTGTGTCCTTCGGTAATTGCTGCCTCGATAATCTGGTGAGCTAATTGGAGCTTCTTCCCAGCACAGTACAGTTACTCAAAATCGCCGAACACCCACAGTCGCTGCAGTGTAGTACTGTGGGGGTTCGGCGCTTTTGAGTAACTGCACTGTGCTGGGAAGGAGGGGCTCCTTCCCAGTAATCTGCTATTATATTAACCATTTTCGCTCTTCCCATTACCAAGCCGAGTAGCGACTTTCCCCGCTATGGAGGCTCACATATTATGGTTATATATTTTTTTTCTGAACAAGAAACTAAACAATAACATAAATGGATAAACCCTACTTCTGGTACCTTTATCATTTTACTAAAGCGTTCAATTTTGCAAACCACAGTTTTTTCGCAGAGAAAAAAAAAAACGAAAACACAAGCTCTGTTGTCTGACATGCAGCACATTATATCTATCATACCGTAAAAACATACACCTATATAGCAAACAAAATTAGCGGAGGCCACGCCACCCAGTGGAAAAGACGTGAAGGTAGAATCAGGGAGCTACCGTCATACAAGTAAGCACCAAAAACTGTGACGACATGGCGGCCAACATGGGAAACAGAGAAAATGAGATGACATGCACGCCGTTGGAGTCGCGAATTAAAAGGGTCACCTTAAGCATGCATTGTGTTCCACCACAGTGTTTGTACGCGGTGATCATAAAGAAGTATAAATATACCCTAATCTCACGAATAGGGTCGGGAGACACAGAAAGTGCAGCATGTTCTGAGCCCTCCCACCATTGGAGCGTCAGTTATTGTGGCAATACGAGCACACATATTCCCACTATAACTGCGCTAACCTAAGAAACTTACTTCCCTTGCACTGGAGATATATGTCACTGCATTATACTGAGTGTGAAGTCGGGGGATTTATTCCTGCTGAAGAGCACATTGTTTTGTAAAGACAACTGGCCCTGTTAGCATATTTTTGTTACGCCATTTTTTGACGCTCGAGGCTTGGAAACCTTCTCTAAGACACAGAATGAAAAATTGGTCCACTTGGTACAGATTCATTTTGAAACAGCGCAACTAGACACGTACGAAGTGAGAGACTGGACAAAAAACACATTCTGTTCATTCTAAAACACACTTGGTGCAAGTACAAAATGTGATTTCCATAGGAGTTAATACGCACTGCAGGTCATCTCTTCCGCTTCTTTCGAGTAACGAGGCACGGAGTACTTTTCCATGTCGTACTCCTTTCCACTGGGACTCACGCAGTAGCACCTGCGGGAAAAGAAAGCAAGAGCGCGACAAGTTGGACAGGGGTTGACTCTCTGAAACGAAGCCACCATCCCCTTCCACTGACAGATAGGAGCTTCCAGGCGATAATGCCATGAGATTGCACGGACGTACTTAGAAATAGGGAACGCTTTTCGAGATCATTCCTAAATAGACATAGTCAACCAAATGTCCTGCAAGAATAGCACTCTACAAGTTGAGAAAAAGGACGGAACAGGTTTTTCCGATGGTTTCCCTTTTAATAAAATAGTTGAATTGGGCAACGGAAAGAGTGACTGTGGCGTAATTGCACGAAACGAAAATTACAGCACAGATTGGCGGCGTTTACTTCGGAGTAATTTATATGCTAAGAGGTAAAATAAAGCCAATATAACGCCTTGGATAATTACTGTTTAGATTTAATCTGCGGCTGCCGTAGTTAGATTCTGTCCGAGTGCACACACACGCTACTCATTGTGAAATGCAGCAAAGAAAATTTAACAGCGTTCGACTCCAACTCGCGGAGCGAACGGCTGTGCCAAACTCGAGCAATTTAGTCATTGAAATCCTACCGAACCAAAGTAATTATCTCTCCCAGAAGCGCAAGGCAATATATCAAAGCTATACCAACGTCTCGTTGCCTAGACATGCATTGGTGAACACTGGACCACATTGGGATGAATGGATAGATGAATGAATATTACTGAACACTTTTATTTGGGCAGGGGTTTGCGCCACCTAGCCAAAGCTTATTATTTCAACAATTAACTGATCTCCAACTAAAAAAAAGTAAGGTTAAGGTTTTTAACCGGATAGTTAATTATTTCCAATTAGTGGAGCTCTGTAAATAATCCAATATTGCAAATAAGCTTGATAATTTATTTAACATACTGAACAACCGAATGTCACAAGCTGTGCGGCGATGGTGCTTTCATTTTCCGTGCCACAGATTTCGAAATTCGGTTCTCCGTGGAAGTCGTTGATCACTGCACAATGGCGAACACGGAAAAACATTATCCAAAACCGCAATGTCATGGAGGACCTTCAACTATGATTAGCCCGGAGGGAGGGGCAGGATGACCTGCTTACTTGTTCCCCTTGCACTGTCTAGGTGCGTAGGAGCCGTCTGGGTCGCAAGTTGGAGGGTCGTGGTTCAGCTCTGTGATGAACGCTCCTTGCTTCTTCCCGAACCTCTGCACTGCTTCCTTGCGCTCATGGAGGCAGCGTGTTAACACGGGATTCCCAGCATGTCCAAAGTTCGCGTTGACTGAAAAAGAGCGGGCCTTGCTTGTTTATGATAACACGCTGAAACTGTAGACCCTTCTCAAAAGTGCGTGCCCTCCCGTGGCTGTTCCGAGGCAGCCAGAGTTGGGGGGTGCATTTTGAGCATGCATTGACCACGACCACTTGGTCGGCGTTCGTTGCGTTCTTGGCTGCAAACATATTTGACACGAGTACGGCGTCAGCGCTCGGCGGGAACTCAGATGCAATCACACGCTTCGCGCGATAGGCCATGGTCAAAATCTGGCGACCGCCGGTGTTCCCTGTTTGAAATTTATAAAGTCTCTATTGCTTCGATTGCGTTCGCGGCATCATGAAACGCATGAGTGAGTGGGACAACCTTGCTTAAACCGCTTGGCAACCGTAGCAAGGTTTAGCAAGGCGAAGCAATTGTGGAGAGAAAAGGTGCGCGCCTGTGTCGCTTTCTGTTCATGATTGGTCGGTCACAAGCCACGTGACTGATCCATCTGTCTCTTGAGTAGAATTCCACTTGGTGTCTACGAGGCAAGGGTTTCGCGTTTAGTTGTAATCGCTGGCATTGTCGTTGCGCTCAACGCAGTTAGGCATATCTTGCAAATGGCTTTCATTATCCCTCGAGCTAATTGATATCATAAGATAATTTCGAGAATCTAAAGGGTTTTAAATAAAACTTTATGGTAATTAGTTGAGAACATGTAATTACCGCATTCACCTCCCATACAGCTGTATTATCTGAAAATTCGAAATATTTAAATCTCACAGTAAGGAATGCTCGGACGGTGTTTGCAAGTGTGATTGTTTACGAAACATATGACTTTGCTTCGTTTCAAAGTCTCCGTTTCCTTGAATTCTCATTTCTCGAGTAAGAAAATGCGTTTTGCTAAAATTTTGGAGTTTGTTCAGAGATATCTTACGTATAAGCAGAGTTTTTTTTTTTTTTTTTTTTTTTTTTTTGCATGGGTAAATACATTGATATCTTTTCTATGCGCCGAGAATGTAAGAGAGAAGAGGAGACGAGAGCGCGCTCTCTCGTCTCGTCTCGTCTCCGAGCTCTGATCTCAATGATTAGTGGACTACACCTAAATCTAGCTGCCTTTGTCTTCACTGCACTCGTTGAACGCGTTCGAATGCGAGAGCTAAACGCCAGACGCCGGCGTTCCGCGTTCTACTGGGTTCGACGAGCGCCGTGGAGATAAAGGCAGCTATAGCTTTAGGTCTACCCACTAATCATACCAATCGGAGCTCGGCGTTCTGACGTCTCCGCGCGCTCTCGTACACTCCTCTCCCTCACTTTCTCGGCGCGTTGGTGCCCCTTTGACTATTGTCTTCAGTTTTCGACTATAAGTAGCAATAATAATATTGATAATATTAATTTCATTGAACATGAAAAATACGAGTGGGCTTAGCTTGGGGCGGATGCCCATGAAAAGCTCCGGCTCGTGCCCACCGTCTTCACAACGCTGCGAGTAACTCGCTATAGTCACCGACAGGCTTAGATAGGCAAGGAGGTCTTTTACTGGCCCCGCTTCCAGCGCGAGCTTCCTATCTTCGATAACGCCTCGGCGTAAACCGCAGTCCTCGAGCGTGCACGCGTGCAGCCAAATCACGGCGTGCTGAAGGCCGGACGTCGAAAACAGAAATCAGCCTGACGTTCTCATTCCTTCAGTGGCTATACGGAAGGAAAATGAGGGAGAGAGGGAGACGACAGCGCGCGGGGGCCTCAGAGCGTCGAGCTCTGATTGGAAGGATTAGGGTGTCAACGGAAAGGCTTAGCTGCTTTTTCCTCTACCAACCGCTTCCCTCCAATCAGAAAAAACAAGAGCGTCGTCTGTTTCTCGCGCAAGATCTTGCGTTGGAACACCAAACACCAGCGTCTGGAGTTCGAACGCCGGCACCTGTGCGAAGAACAGACGACTTTCCCGTTTGCTCTGATTAGAGGAAGACAGCGGGCCAAACTAACTTTTCTATGTATTCGCTATCCTTCCAGTCAAACCTCGGCATCCTATGATGCCACCGCGCGCTCTCAACTCCTCCTCTTCCTCTCAAATGTTTACCGTGTAGGTGAAGTAAGTAAGAGATAAACACCCACAGCATTTGAGCCTCTGGATGGGTTCCTTGATGGGAATGGGCGGTCCGTCCAGGCGGCCGTCGGGGGTCAGGCAGTAGCAGTGAGTGTCCGAACACTGCAGGGGGCTGAGGTTTCCGTTGGCCGTGCATCGCAGTCGCCCCTCGGGTGCCACCGCCATGCTGAGTGCTTGCAGCCTTGAGCAGTCTGAACAAAGTCACGGAGATATGAACAAGAGGTGGTGGTGAGGCCAGAAACTCTGCATTCCTTAGAAGAACCTGACGTGCATACGAAATATGGCGTGGTTTTTTTTTTTTTCAAATTTGTAAGTTTGCTGTGAAGATCCTAGAGTTTAAAACGCGTTTAAACTTTGCGAAGACGCCCTTGCATTTGTAGGTCGTCTTCATTATTATTAAAATAAAATGACAAACAAAACCTTTACAGCTGAATTTTGATATATTGTCCAAAGCGTAATTTTCAGAATTGAAGCGCATTTCCGAAACATCGCTAAGTTTCTGTTTTTTTTTTTTACCTACTTCTTGCGACGACATTGAGAATGCATAAAGATGAAGCCTAGAAACGTCGCGTGGGTTGATTCATAGCTTGTTATGACAAGCAACGCTTGCGAACATGCAGAGTTTGTGGGAAGGGCCGGTGTTTTTCAGTCCGCCAGCTCTGCTGCCTTCTGCGTCCCTTCGAAGGCATGCTTCAGACGACGTAAAGTTTGAGTTAGTTTTGGTGGTAAGGCAATCCTGCATTAGAAACGTCGCGGATATCGGTGACGACCTGCGCTTTTTGACTTACAGTTCAACGCCGTGTTCCCTCAAACTCTATACTTCGACTAAGACCGATATCACTTAGCGTTCGGCGCATGCGTGACGCCGCCATAACTATAGTCCACCGGAGGCGGACGGCCGTGCATGCGAGGGGTCGTGCCGTCTCCTACTTCAGAAGCGCAGAGCTTCAGCAAGATTATTGCGCGTGCAGAAAAACCTAAAGTTCCCTCGACGCATTGCGGTAGCTGTGGCGTAGTCAAACTGGCTAATGAGATCGGTCTAAGTATTCACGGCGCCTTTTTGTGATATATCAAAATCTGACCCTTCAAAACAAGCTCAACATCGTATATATATATATATATATATATATATATATATATATATATATATATATATATATATATATATATATATATATATATATAAAAGAAAAAAAAAACATCTACGTGAGGGGTGAGAAACGGGAACGAAGAGGCCTCACTTAAGATAAAATATTAAGTACAGTACTAAGAGCGGGGCCGAAGTTACGTGGACGAATGCAAGGCGATATGGAAAAAAGTGAGTAAAGTTGTTGGGCTAAAAAAAATATGCAGACGATATAAAATTTAGGACAATTTTAAGCATAGTCGTAGAACAGATGGTACATAAGAATATCTAAACACAAGGTCAAAAGGTTAGGGAGAAATTTCAAACTGCTTCTAACACCATGAATATCGGCGCGAAAACAACGATGAAGATTGACAAGGTGTAAAACCTTCACCGGGACCAAGAAAATAGACCATAGTATCGACACATGTGTAAACGAGGTTAAAGAGTTTTGTTCATATGTTTTGTCGGCTTGCATATTCAAACAAACATGGAAATAACAAAAAAAAAAAAAATGAGGAAAATGCGAGCTGCCTTACTGCAGCAGCCAACATGCTGTGAAGTTCCTAAAAAAACAAAATTTTATAAAGAAGCTGAAGTCTGAATCAGTGACAAAATTTGAAAGTCTCGAAGAGCCCCGAATGATCGAGGTAAACATTTAGAGAAGTTACAAATAACACTTTCAGGTTGGAATGAAGGTCTTTCTTGAGCCTGATGTCGACTCATCAAGGCCGAGTACTTCTTTAGACACGGCCGAACACATGCTTCAGACCTCTCTTCATTTTTAGTTCTACGACATGTTGATATTTCGTGTTTATCTTGCTCTATAACTTGAGCACGGTATGCTTACTGCAATGCATTTCGTCCGCCTCGGAGTGCAGGGCTGTGCCGAAAATTCGCGTTCCATTCTTGTCAACGCAGTGGCATCTGAAAAAAAAAAGAAGAAAACATTGAAGCATTCTTAATGAGACCCTGACATCTCTACAGAAAACATAAATAAATTAGTCATCTTTGCATTTTAATTATTGCCACCTATTATCAACCTTCCTGGCACTGGCACGCCTGATCCCCCTCCCTTCATTGACACCCCTGCCACTGAGGAGGTATAAATGGATAAATGATTAAATACATAACCGCCTGGTGCATGGTGACGGCGCTCATGAACTTTGTTCGTTCGCTATCCCCGATGGTACTCCGTTCATCTTTAAATGGACACTGCAAGGGGGAAAAAAATTTCGTTTTACAAGGCATCGATGGGGGGGACACGTAATTTTAAAAATATATTTTCCCCGAAAGCATTTTTTTTTTCACGCAATATTTACGCCGTTCGACGCAATTTGGATGCAGAAGGTGGAAGTAGCAGACAGCTAAGCACTGCCCCGTGCTTACAAGGTGCCTTCATCTTTTATTGGCTGGAGAGATGATTGACGTGTGAAAGGTTGGTTGTAAATTTGTATCTCCGTGCCTTGACAGTATTTTAATGGCTATTTTTTATGTTTGAGACGCTAATAATCAAGATAGGTTCAATATTGTTTTCATGTGTATTTCAAGATGGCTTTCCCGATTTGGTTTGAAACGTTAAGAAACATGGCTGCCGGCGTCTGCGGAGTGCAATAGGGGCAAAGCTTGTTGAGCTCGTCAGTTTTTATGAGTGCGAGTGCTTTTGAGTTCACAAACATGCTTAGAAGAATATCTCCTCAACCGGAGTAGTTTGCAACAAACAACTGCCGCAAGTACGCGCCTTCGTAAGCACTGTGCAGGTGCTTGTTCTCGAAGCCGGACTGGTCTAAACCTAGCATCCGAGATCAATTGTTTTGATCGATCTGGCTCGACTTCTTTCTTTGCACAAGTGGATGCTGAATAAAGACCTTGTTTCCCATAAAAGCGGCCCCGCTGTTTTGTGCATTGTGTAACCGTCGTGATTGCGATCACGGTTTCAATACCGAAAATATACCTAAACAGGCAAGAATTGGCGAGCCGTTTGGTTACAGGGAATCTGACGTTCGGCACGCGTCAAATTTGTCTACATATGTTCCCGTCATTGCGACACGAAAGACAAGCTTTGAAGTTTTGCTGCGCACCTGGCCTACCAAAGCGTATATGTTTACGTGGCGTTTCAAGTGTGCGTCATGACACTCACCCGCCTTGCTCGCGGATGCCATGTGAAAAATATAACAAGAAATGTAAATCCTTAAGGACAACATATTTATTTTGTTCATTTTTTGGTTCTCTCGGTCGCTTATTTTTCACATCCATAGAAGCTGACAGACGCCCGTATAAAGGGTATGCACTGAACGCCGTATTGGAGGGCGATGCTTAGAGAGAGTGCTCAGAAGGAGCTCATATGAGTAGGCAGCTAAGACCGCCAATCTTGGTGATTGCGAATGCACGTTGCACAAATAATTGTGGAAGCTCGCCGTCAGCACGCGCTTAGCAGTTGAGCACACAGCTATGGCCGCCAGTGAATGCTCCCTATTGGACCGCGGGTCCTGCATGATGGAACACTAGAACGTCGCTTTCATGGTGGTGTCTTCGGAAGTTTACAGAAGTTTTTAGACGGCGGATGAGTAGCAGACGGAAGGAGGCGAAAACGGAAGCCGACGCGCAGCTTTCGTGTCCGCGTCTCACGGCATTGCAGACGACGTGGAGGTGACATGACGTCACCAGAGGTGAAACCAAAAGTGTGGAGTGATATGCCCCCAACAATGACCAAAACCAAGAAACGCTATTGGACGAAAAGGAGAGCTCTCCTTTTCGTCCAATAGCGTCTCTAGGTTTTGGTCACAGTTGGGGTCGTGTCCCTCCACACTTTTGGCTTCTCCTCTGGTGGCGTCATGTAGCCTCCAGTGGCTTCCTACCTCTTAGGAAGACGATGATAGGCGGCGGTAAAATAGCAGGCGATGCCGGAGGCTGCCGCTCGTCTGCCCGCACGACTAGCAGAGACTTCCAGACTAAACGCACCGGATGACGCGGGAGGCAGACACTACGCTTGTTTAGGGCGATTCATACACTTGCGTTGAGTCTGCCCGAGTGGGAAGGTTGCTATGGCAACAGCTGCGTGGGCTCCGACAAAACGGAGTGAAACTTGTTTTTGTTGGAGCCGATGCCGCTGTTGCCATAGCAACCCTCCCACTTGGTAGGACACATCGCAAGTGTGTGAATCGCCCTTTAGCTTGTTCGGTCAAGCAGCCAAGCCAGTCCAGTAGTAATGGGTGGGGCAACTGCTCTGTGGGCGGGGCTTAGAACGCCCCCGCCTTTATTCCATCTAATGGCGTAAATATTGAACGATTTTTTTTCCTCTGGAAGAAATATAAAAAAAAACCTGTCCCGTTTATGCCATTTTAAAAAAAGTCTTTGCCCTTGCAGTGTCCATTTAAACTGTCAGTGACCATAAACACGCCGATGGCTTTGCTCTTTGCAGTTGAATACCCAATTTTCGCCACGTGCAAAGGGTGGTCTGCTCAGTGATGGCGATAATGGGAAAGAAGAAAGCTTTTCCAGCGAAACACAAAGTTTGGGATGACACCCAGCCAGGCCTTCTTGGATAATCTCATCGTGTTCAATGTCGCAATGAAGGTTAGTTCAGGCTTGCGTTTCGTCGCGATCGAGTGCGTTGTGTAGCCTCGTGCAGGCTCGGGATACTTAACGACGATGAGAACGCACTTGTACGCTGGCCTCATTTATGAGGTTGCCGTCAAAAAAGCATTTAACTATGGTGAAAATTTTTACAGTATTTGCGAGGTCAAATATTGTACTATGTATGAGAAGTGGCCGTTTGTAACAGCGTCAAGCGTTTCTTTTTTTTTTTTTTTCAAGTCTACGGTGAAAGAAGAAGAATGCGGAAGAAAGTTAGGCATTTAAACTAACAAGTGTGTCCTGCTCTACTCGATAGATAGAGGGCGCCAGTTTGTCCTGTTGTCGTACGCGATCACGAGAGGTTCTGATGCACTCGGTAGCAAGCAGACGAAAGTGTGCGAACTGTGTACTTTACTTTCAGGTCCGGACGTATTTTTAGTCGCGTCACTCGCGAGCCCCATCTGGAGATCAGAGAGGTCGATTCCTATAGAGTCACCGATGTTTTAAAACCCGACAAGAGCAGCGAAGAACAAATAGTGAAGCAAAAAGCGTGGATACCCGCCTTGCGTACCTGTCAGTGACCATAGACGGCTGTGCAGCAAAAGAAACGCAAGGAGTTTTTTTTTTTTCCTTTACAGTGTTAAATATTACAGCAAGCGGAGCTTGCCTTCATGTATTGATTAAACGGGCGGGGAAACGATTTATCAGACATTGGCCACTGAATTGCGGGAATTTATCTGTGTCACCGGTGGAATGAATAACAGAGAACCACGCTTTTATTCACGCGCTAGTTTATATATATATATATATATATGTGTATATAGATATTGTTACGAGCGTTCCAGCCGTTGCCCTTTCCTACTGTCCGTACTTCGCCCACCTCCTAATGTCCCCGTTTGTCTTCTTTACTTTCGCCCGTTACAATCGCCCCCCTCCAAGGGACTGTCCGTCCCGGACAGAACCAACGTCGTCATCGCGGGCCCCATAAAGTTTGAGTTGACTGACATGAGCTGTCAGAGTCCGGTGTCTTCCTTGTTGAGGCAGCGCTCGCAATTCCTCGAGGCGATATGTCACAGGACCGTGTTGCCTGCTTATTTTGAAGGGCCCGCAGTACCTTGGGAGCAATTTCTCGAATCGCTGCGGCCGTCTGAGGTGACTTCGAAGAAGCACTAGATTTCCTGTATTGAACGATGGTCCAAAACTTCCAGTGCGCAGGCGCTGGGTGGGATGTGACCGCTTGTGAAGGATGGCGAGTCGAGCTCTTTCTTTTGCTTCGTGTAGTCGCCCAGAGAAGTCGCATTCATAGTCCCGCCCGCGGCGGGTCCACGTTGTGTTCATCGCTGTCTCCTCTGGAAGCGTGGGAAGCCTTCCATACACCAGCTCGAAAGGCGATTGGCTCGTTGTTTCTTGACGGGATGTATTTAGTGCAAACGCAGCAGGGTCAATATATTGGTCCCAGTTCTTGTGGGATGAATTAACGAATGCAGCTAATATATCGCTCAAAGTACGGCTAGTGGGCTCTACCAATCCGTTTGTTTGAAGGTGGTAAGGTGAAGCCGCTGCATGCTGAGTCCCGTAGTTCCTAAGGACATCCTTGAAATCACAAGACATGAACGATGTTCCTCGGTCAGAAATTATCATTCGTGGAGTCCCATGCCGCAACACCAGATGGTTGTTCACAAAACTGATGAGGTGTGTCGCTGACGTGTCGGGAACTGCGTGTACCTCAACCCACTTCGTTAAGTGGTCTATGGCCACAATTATGTGCCTGTTGCCATCTTCTGATTTTGGGAATGGTCCCAGATGGTCTATACCGATTTTTTCAAACGAACTTGTTGAGGGAGGTATCTGGTGAAGTTCTGCCTTTTTTGGTTCGGCGGTGTTTTGCGCATTAGGTAAGTGGTGCATGAAGCAACGTACCGCCGAACGTCACCTCTCAAACCAGCCCACCAGAACCTTTGAGCGATTTTTTCTAATGTCCGGTGTTGTCCAAGGTGACCAGCAGTTGGAGCGTCGTGACACATGACCATAACGTTGCGGCGCAGACTCGTGGGAACAACAGGCGGCCACGAATCTGACTGCCGTGATCGATAACAGAGACGCCCGTCACGGAGCTGGTAGCGTGCTCGCAAACGTTGCAGGCGTCTTCCGTGAAGACGAGAAGAGTCACTGTTTGTGTTTCCGAGATGACTGACGATAGTTGAAGTCTCTGTGTCGTTTGACTGCGCTGCCTCCAAATCAAGCAGAGCTGAAACAGAAACTGATGAACCATTCTCCACGGGATTGCGGGAGAGGAAGTCGGCGTCTTGATGGTGTCTTCCGCTTCGGTGAACAATTGCAACATTGTACTC